ATGCACAAATCCAGAGTTTGAATTAGGGATGTAAAGTACCTTCACACAAAGTAAACGTAAACCACATTTCCTCTGTTAATGCTCTAGTTCACCATTTCACCAAGTAAAATATCATGAATTAATTGTTCAATTTGTTTAACAACGTGAATCATGGAAACTCCCTTACACTTGTATTTTCTATCTCCCTGTCGTTATTAAAATCTCCATTGTTGTGCATGCCAAAAATATTACATTTCGGAAAAAGAGTAAGAAAAAAAACCCCAAGTTCTACTCATAATTAAAAACTATTTCTCCAACATTATCAGAGATACCCCAAAGTTGGTGCTACCTTTAATCGAAAATCATCTACATTTTATTCTATATGCCCTTGCTTAAATTTTTATTTTTTTTTTTATTTTTTTTAACGAAAAAAAAAAAAAAAAAAAAAAAAAATACAACCCAACAAACGCTAAAGAAACTTAATATACTATTTAAACACCCACGCAAGTGCAAATATAAGAAAATACCTGTGGGAGGCTTATGAAATTAAGGAGAATTTGAGCGACGAGTTCCAGGGGCTATGTTTTTGGTTGGGCTTCTTTCTTGATGGCGAGAATCTTGGCCAAGATTTCCTCCACCGAAGACTTACTCTTTCAGAACATGTCGTAGAGCACCGGCGCTGTGCCTATCTTGCACTCTGGTAGTATTTCGCTAGGTTCTACCATCGTCACTTCCACTTCAAATGCAATTCACGTTGTTTATCATTCTCTAGGGTTTGTGGACGAAGCGAAAATTTCTAGGTCGAAAAAGCATGAGATGAGATGGACAAGAGTGAACGAGTGAATAGATAACAGTTCGGCCAGTGCTGATGGGCCAAGTAAACAGTAATCAAATGCAGTTTATCTATAATACAAACCACTTTTAGTGGGAGATCAACTACACGGATGAATAGTGAGAAAAGGGGTTTTTTTTTTTTCCCCCCAAATTTTTAAGTAGGCAAAAAGGGGGTGGGGGGACCCAAATAAAATTCTAAGCAAAAATTGTACCAGGTTGCAATAAACCTCCAACCACTAAAACATAATGTCACCTGTAACGACCACTAATTAAATAGTCGTTAAATGTCAAGTTTTCTTTTATTTTCAACAATGAGATAAAATTAGTTATTATTTTACTATATTAACGACCAAACATTATGGTCGTCGAATATTTACTATATTATTTGTGTTTTTAACAACTGATTTTATTGTCGTTGAATATGAACAAATATTTTGGTGGGAATTTTTTATTTGGCGCCCACTCACAACGTCCAATTTTAATTTGGTCGTTGAAGATATAGATTTAACAACTATTTTTTCGGTGGTTATATAATATTACCAACCAATTTAGAATTCGACTCTTCGTCATCTAATTTCTACGATGAAACGTATAATTTGGTCGTTGAAAATAATTTTTAACGACCAGATTGATTTGGTTGTTAAAACATTAGTTGTTAAATATCATTTTTCTTGTAGTTCCATTCCAATCAAAATTTGACAGCTTTTTTTTTTTTTTTTTTTTTTTTTCCTGCACGTTCAATATCACAAGATTTGGGAAATTTTCCCCACCAATTTTCCTTCTTAACATTGTTATCAAAATAATACATTGGCATATTTTTGGCATATTTTTGAACTTTCCCAACAATATGGATCTTAGATCATTTTAGTTCACTACATTCAATTTTCATCGGAGCACAAATAAGACCTTTGACAATGACATTGTGTTACCAGGGGAGTGTCCATGTTCCACTAGAAGACAACCTTAGCCACGTAGTGTGAACAGTGCATTTCTCCAAAATGTGAACTAGAATTCGACTTCCTATTTTTTTTCTATATAATAGGTGTGAACAAAGACTGTCTGCATCGGTTTCATCCCAATTATCATGGTATAAATTATTGTAGAATAATGTTGTTTAGATGTCCATGCATCATTATTGCATCTTAACTTTTGTTCTAAACTAGGTATCTAATATTTAAATATATTTATTATTGTCATCATATGAAAATACTTCTTAAAAATTAATTCTTATTTCTAAAAAAAAAAAAAAAAAATTCATACAAAATTTTCATTTATATTGAAGTTGCACAATGAGGGCAATGAAGAAATTGTTATTCAACAAAAATTTGTCCCACATACCACAGATATCTATTTAACTTTTTAAGGAAAAATAGTCATAAAAGAAGAAAAGGTCATCGTAGATTAATAAAAAGTAATTTGCACAAAATATCTCTTTCGTTTGCACTCATTGCGTAAATCATCCTTATCATTTTGAAATTGACATTTACAAGCTCATTTCAACAGTTTCTTGTGTAGTTGATTCCTTCTGTTTCAAGTTATTAATTCCTTCCATTAAATAGAATGAAAATTTTTAGATCATGATGACTCATCTTACATCCTGTCATGTATGTAAAAAAAAAACGAGAATTTTATTACACGTTAATATGTTTCGCAATGGTTAAATGCTTGAGGAAGACTTCAACTTGACTAACTCATCCGACTACTTAAATAAGATACTATTGCTTAAGAAAATTATAATGGGTGAATATTTTTAGTTAAAACATTGTTGATGCAATAATTAATTTCATGAGAAAGGGTGGGGGGTTCATATGGCATTTTTTCTGTGGACTATAAGGTTTGGCAGACTTAAAATATATTTTGTCAAAAATTAATTTTTAAAGTATGTAAAGTTAAAAAATTAAGTAAAAAATTAAATTAGGTGCATATTATTTTATTGTGAAAATTTAGGCCTATTTGGTAGGATTTCTACTCGTTACAGAAGATTTTTTTTATTATTACTTATTTTTAGGAAACTACTTTAGATCAGTGTTTTATTGTCAAAATACATAGTAGATTTTTACTTTTAACCGCAAGTTCTCACTTTATTTAAATTAATTGGCACTCAATGATTTGAGATTCATTAATATTTTATATATATATATATATATATATATTGACAAAAAATTTAATCGCTTCCACATTTGTATATATATATATATATATATATATATATATATTCATTGTAATGATACAATAGAAGAAACACTAACATAAATACTATGTGTAATTAATGACTCTATTATCCTAGGAATACTCGAATTCTTTTTAATATCAACTATTCACAAAATTAATATCAAACAAATCATAGAACAATGAACCCTATTTCTTCTTCTGCATAAAACCTTAAAAACTTTTGGTCTATTTGTATTAAAATAACAAAATAATTCCATAAAAAAGGTTATATTTTTTGAATACAAGCGTAAAAGATAATTTACTTCAAGTGATAAAAGTGAAACCTTATTAGAAATAGTCTTACCAGGAGTAACTTTTATTTAAGTTTATTTGGGGTTAGAGTGAAATTAAATAAAGAGGGAAAAAAAAAGGAAAAAAAAAAGAGAGGAAATAACAATTAATTGAAAATCGTAGCCGAGTGCATTCCGCGTTATCCATATTCAGTTGGGAGTTGGTGGCTCTTGGGATGACGTACACAGTGATGTATGTCATCAATATAATTTAAGAAACTTTTGTCACTTGTTAATGAAAAAGGAAAGTTTTAAAAAAAAGATTGAACCTTAACTTTGAGGATCCCCCACCGTCCCGTTCTTGAAGTATCGTGAGAGAGGTTAATCGCAGGATGTACTCCAATAGATCAGGGGACAAGAGTTGTCTGTACACTGATACCCATAAAGAGTCTCAATCCATGTTTCAGGAAACGAATCCTCATACTGCGATTGTCAACAAAGTTGAGTATATATTACCCTTATTCTTTGTACCACTAGGGTATGCCCCAGAGAGCAAAAGGAAAGTTTAATAAGCATTGAAAAGTGTGTCCCCAAGTTTTTGTTTCACCATGTTGAATATAAATTAATGAAAAAATGATTTTGAAGTTTGCGTCACCAAGTCCTCACTCTATTGTTTTTACAATTGCAGTCCTCAAATTTTCAGTTTAGTATTCGAATTCATGCTTTGAAAGGGCTCGAAAGAGTTACTACTTTAAAGGACCTAAGGAAATAAAAAAAGAAGGTATTAACTCTTTAGCTTCCAAGACTCAGTAGCTCTACGAGAAAAGGAGCTAACTCAAAGAACTGTAGCTCATGTAAGGATTTCCTCCGTAGCCTTCTTGAGTTGAAAGCTTTATGATATGATCATTAAGAGGATCCTTCCTCAACTCAACTGAGGTTGGGATGAGTTTTTCTTCACATTTTATTTTTATACTTTTTTCTACTTATTTATCTTTTTGTTTAAACAGAAGAGGAGTCTCTTAACATAAATATATACGAGCTTCTTAACGTAATCGGATTTAAATATTACAAAATGAAAGGTTTGGTTTTGAGTTTACCAAAATATGTGTTGAAATCTACTGTCCATCCAATTAATTATTGACACGTTATTTTAACTTAACATGTCATCTCAAATTCGCCTTCATTAATTTCACCCTAACACACCAAATTGATTACATGTTAATTTAAAATGATGTGTTAATAATTAATTGAACAGTAGATCTCAACACCAAAAATATTAGCCCGTGATCTACTTGCTATAGTTTCAAAAAATTGAGGGCGTCAGTCCCTTTGGGGAAGGAGTAAAAGCCATGTGGGAACCTGGGAATCAACAATGGCACAACCTGCGATTTACCTCCACTAGTCACTGAGGGGCCGGGGGCTAGAGGTCTAGGATTTAGTCCGGCTAAGCTGGGACACCTGGGTTATTAAAAAAAAAAAAAAAAAAAAAAAATTGAGGGCGCCATCTATAATTTTTCCAATTTATTACACGGGGGTACGGAATTTCGGATCTCGAGAAAAATTTACTAAACAATTTCTCTTCAATATGTCCATTAGTGATTTAAGCATTTATTTTATTTTATTTCAAGATTCATTGCGTGTAAACTACATAGAACTCCAAAAAACCCCGGCCCCCACCATTTCTTCGACTATATAATTAACGGGTAACATAGTTGTAATGGACACGAAAGAAACTACACACAGAAATACACTGTAATGAAGTCTTGTTTCCCTTCAAGTACCATATCCACTGTTAGGAAAAGGCTACTCGAAGAGTTGAATCTGGGTCAGGAATCCACTAACATGCTTCGAGTTATGTTGCGTAAAACCCAGAAGGATAAAAGGTGTACATCACAGCAATCTGCTCAAAGCCTGGTGGACAAGATCTTGGATTCATTTGACAATGGTCTTTCAATTCTAAATTGTAATGAGTCCAATGAGGTCTCTATTGTTCCGGTGATGGTTTCGTCGCATTCTGATGGACAGAAGTCGGAAGATTCCGCGAAGCATACCAACACTTCAGAGTTCAGAAAAATTTCGAAACGCAGGAGAACTTCGGAGAAAAGGGCAAAAGAGATCGTTGCTGCTTCGTTTGAAGATGGTCATGCATGGAGGAAATATGGGCAAAAAAGTATCCAAAATACCAAACATCCTAGGTAATAATGTTAGCACGGAGAAAACATAACTTTCATGCTTGTTTGGTAGTGTTTTTAAGACTCTAGTTAGGTTACAATCATGTTACATTGATCGAAAATGATTGAAAGGGGGTGATGCAAGCCCAACTAAAATTTTATTTTAAATTTGGGCTAATATGTGGGGAAAAAATTCACTTTAATGTTTTTTAAAAAGTTCAAAAATTCCACTTAAATTTTATTAAAAAAAAAAAAAAAAGTTATGCATCAAAAATCGAAATGGGCTCCTAAATCACCAATGATCTAAGTACTGGTCCAACGGTCACGTTGTTCAATGTATAAAAATGCATTCCAACTTCATAGAAAAATGTGAAAGTGGCTTGTTGCCAAATAAATCAAAGATCATTTAAACTCTAAATGAATAATATTATTTTATTTAAAGTGCTTATGAATGTGAGTTTTAAGAAATGTATAAATACTAAGTGGATAACAAGTAGTGTCCTATGGAATATGTAGATGAAAAGTATGTATGATCATTAAAATTTTATGTACACTTCACATATATAAGTTTGAATTGCACGCAAGAAGACATGTTAAAATTAAATGTTCTGTTACAACAATTTTACTTTTAGATGACATTACATTAAATTTAAATTATTAACATTTTGTATGTGGACTATCCGCTCATTTTAGATTAATTACTTGCAGGAGCTACTTGAGGTGCACCTACAAGTATGATCAAGGATGCAAAGCAAGAAAACTGGTCCAAAAAATTCAAGATGAGCCAGCATTATATAGGACAACATACCACGAGCACCACACATGTAAGAAGAATTTATTTGAAGAATCTCAAATTATTACGGATAGCACTACAAAAGATTCTTCCATCATCTGGAGCTTCGACTCTCATGAACAGAACTATAAACCTAATGGCAAGGTGATTCCAACATTGCCCATAATTCCGCAAGAAACTGAGGAAATGTTTAACAATTTGCATCATGACAAATCATCATCACAATCTGATTACTTCATATTGCCTGATCTGACGACATTTGAATCATGTTTTGGGCAGTTCACTGATATTTCATCAGCATTTCACGATCAAGGGCATGTGATTTGTTCTGATATGGATATAGAAACGATGGTAGGACCCCTTTCTGATGAATTTCTTGAGTTATGGTAGACTGGCTAGTTTATTTTATTCATTCCTTTTATGTACTTACTGAATATTTTCGCTCCATAATTTATTTATTTTTCCTTGATAAATCTGGTCGTATGAGAAAAAGAAGGAAATATATATATATTTTGGAAAATTTCAGATTTGCTAGATGTTTTCAATGAATTTTTACAAATATTAATTCATCTTATAAATTCACAAACAAATTGCAGAATATTTCTAATCCATCCAAGCTTATTACATGAAATGTTCAAAGTAAAATTATAAGGATTGAAATTCACTCCAAGGCACGTGCACAGAGCTGTCGGCCAATTCTACCAATTTTCACCAGAAAAATTGCAACTCCTTATGTACAAATCATTTTCATGCAAGGCCAAATTCTTTGTTTTTCTGGACTCTGGAATTTCAAACACCAAAATTTGAAGCCCACAATCACTAGAGTTTGAATACAGGCTGGACATTTTGGAAACAAATTAAGCTTAATAGCTCATGCAGTGAACTTTGAGATGTAGAGTTTTGTGAGTATTTATGGAGAAACAAGTACAAGAAATGCCTTAAAAAAATTTCGTCACTTAGAGAAAACGAAATTTACTTCAAAATCTACAATGCACATACTCAATGTTACACACTTTGATTTTCAAAAGATTTTTATCGCTCAATTTGATGAAACAAAGACAAAATCCAAAAGTCGGGTTTCAGTTAAACGCTAATGTCATCATCATCTAAATTTCTAGTTCATGAAAGCACAAATTCGTAATATAAAACCCAAGAATGGCTTTTTGGATGAACGTAACATTTTGATATAGTCTCAGGTGGGACGGATGCTACGAATACCTGCCCAAGATGAACGTAAAATGGAAGAATTTCACAAAGTTAATCCGCAGGCAAAGAAGAAAGGTTTTGGCGACTTTTCCGTTCCCCATCCTTTTTCAGGATGTCATCAAGTCAATTCTCCTTAGTGATTGTCCATAAATAATACATAAACTTTACTTTATTTTTCTTGTACGATGTCGAAATACTGAAGTATTGATCTCATGATCCAAGGGGAAGCTCTTTGTCCTTAACTAAATTAATGGTACTATGGCCACATTTTTTTAAAAAAAAATACATTCTTAAATAGTAATTTGACATCATTTCAATCACGCATTCTTTAATAAAATAATATTACACGCAAATTCAAAATCTTTTCTTTATTTTTTAACTATATATTTTTCATCAATACACTATTCCAAAATACATTTTTAACGTTCTAGTTTGATGATGTTATCAAATGGTATCCCTTAATTCCACGCATACCATCCAAAAATGCGACGTGTCTGAGTAAATTTATTAGATTATTGCAATAAGATATTCAAAAATACTCAATCTTGATAAAAGTTCTTTGTAACTGAAGCTATACTTCGACTTGGGATACAAGAAATGGTATGTACCTTCTTGACGATGTCCGATAAGGGGCTGTCCATAGTCTGTCTGCCTAGTTGAGATTTAAAATAATAATAATAATAAATAAGAATTGTTGGTCAGAACTGGAAATTGAATTTATCATTTTGCTATAAAATAGGTGTGAACGCACAGTCCTGACATCAAATTACTGCCCACCTTGGAATAATTTAGTATAACACTGATGATTAAATCTCAATTTGTTTGAAGCGGTTGATGGTAGATGCACCGGGATATTCCAATTAAATTGTCACTTCTGTAGTAGTAGCAACAGTACCCTCATCATTTGCCCACCTCAACAATTTATTCATAAAAATTAAACCAAGTTCAATAGAATAGTTCGTAATGGCTTACTCTTATTAGAAAATGCAGATGCCTGACCAATAGGGAGGTGACACATCGTCCCCTATTTGGACAGGGGATTGTCCAAGTAATAGGGCTCGCTCGTAATTACAAGCCATCTAGCAAACAAAATAAAGAAAGTCATCGATGATGCCTGACTCTTCACTGGGTATGCTGCCAGTGCATAAGAGAAATATGGGCCATTTCTAGTTCAAGCCCCACGGCGCATTAATGGATCTATTGCTCAGAAGATGCACCACATAAACCACAAGAACTAGAAGTGCCGACCCTTCTCCCATTTGTTTAAATCTCCATGAAGCATTGCTTGATATTTTTTTAATGTCTAAATTAGGTATTTAATATTAATCACATTTTTTATCCCCATTTTTTAAAACTAATTTTTCCACAAAATCAGTTTCGACCGTACCTTTCATTGGATCCACAGTTTTTATCAATTTTTCGGCCACACATCTTAAAATTTCATTAAAAAATATACTTCAATACGATATTTAGTTGAACCAAACAAATGCTAAGTAAGTAGCCATAAATGTAATAATTTTGTTAATAACTTTATATGGTAGTTCAAAATGGTATCTAAATAAAAAAATAGAAAAACTCACCTGAATAAGCATGATAAAGATAAATAAATTTGCCTGATTATTTTTTATTATTTTATCTTCGGATGAAGTGAAAGAACGTTAATAATAAAAGAAGGTTAAACAAGAACCATATATATGGAGCGCTATATTCGAATGTTCACATGGAATGACGTATACTTTGACTATTCATAGTATGTCATCAAATGATGTTAGAAAATATATGATACAGAGTTTTTAAGGAAATGCATCGAACGTGGATCGAAATTTGTGTCCACAAGTTTTCCTTCCGGACAAACACAAACCCATGCAATGAAGCTTAAATTTAGGTGTTTAAAAAATTAATTAACAGCAGGTGGCTTTGCAGTTTCCAATCTCGAGGAATTTTACTCGAAACGTGCGTTTGAAGAGGTCTGGTAAGTTGTGTTCTTATCTGAATTCAAAGACTGAGGGCATCTCCAATTTATCCTTAATTGCATCAAAATTCATTATAAAATTGCACCAAGAATCAGTATTCATTTACACAATTTTTTGCATCAAAATAGTTAAATATCTTTTTGCCCTTCCCTTCCACGTTACATAAAATTTAGTGAAGGGTATTTGTGTCTATTTTTATCATACAACAACTTCTTATTATTATTATTATTATTATTATTATTATTATTATTATTATTATTATTATTATTATTATGTAATTAATAATAATTAAGAAAAGAATTAAAGTAAAAGTATTTAAGAAGTTTTAAAATGTAATTATTACGATCATTTTCAAGAATTTCCTACTCCTCATAGACAAATCAAAGATAAAAAAACTCACATTACGCTTTGAAACATATTAATTGATTACTTATGAGATGAATATATGAATTTCAAGAATTACATTATAACGCTAGTTCGACTTCGTAATATCATGATATTGGGATTCGAAACGCATTGCACTGTTTTTAAATAACATGATTTAATACTTTGTTTGTGGCATTTTATAATATGATTAAATATTTTCTCAGTTGTGGCATTTCTATTAATTGTATGTATTACGTTTTTTAAATTTATTAATGAATTCAATATTTTTATTAATTTAACGTAATTATTTATTTAGTAATTTATGTAGTTGTAAAATAAATAAATAAATTTTCAAAAAAAAAATTGTTAAGAAGGAAAAAAAAAAGAATAAAATGATTAAATATTATTCATTTAATGCAATTTTTAGTGGAATCGGCTGGAGATGATTTTCAGTTTAATGCAAAATAGTGCAAAACTTATCTCAAATTTTGGTGTATGATAGGAGATGGTTTGAAAATCCATTTCAATTTTAAACCAAATCTTACTGCATGTAAAGATAAATGGGCAAAATGTTATCAATAGTCTTTCGTGAGCTTGTAGTCATTTTGATACACAAATTTCCTATAACCGAGAACCAAATGTACTAAAAAATGTTATCCCGAAAATCTAGGTTAATTTGAAGAAACCTAGACGTCCAAATAATTTGATATTTCAAGGAATCAAAAACCTCCCATATACAAACAATACACATATAAAATTAATTTCTCTCTACATTTTATTTCCTAAAACTTAAGAACACAATATGCTCCATATTACCCATTACCCTGTAAACAAAAGAAAATTTAAAACTACTAGTAAGTAGTAACAACCCTCTATTACAATCCGTACGTTGTGATAATGGAGATCACTCCTACACTACTGGTTTCTGCTTGCCTCTACTTGAAGATTATTTCTTCCAGTGAAAATGGCTGAAATTCTAGACCCAGAATGGCAGCATAGTGATTCAATAGATACATGAAAAATATATTCTTTATTGTTAATTATATAAATTTAGGGGATTTCTTTGAAATTAAATAAACAAGAAACATGTAAATTTCTTCACATCCCTGAATTAAGCCCATACTATATTAGATGTCCAAAATTCAATAAATTTAATTCTTTATTAGTTTACTTTAAATTGGCTTAACCTTAAGATAGTCTTTAATACACAATTAATTTTCTGTGTACACCCACATAACAAATTAAAACCCAGCAGAACACATACAAGAACCAAAGTGTTTCATCAAGATACTCCATTTGAATTTCATTTGATGTGAAATTTATGACTTAGCTCCCCAAAAAAAATGCTAGAAATGGATACACGTAAATTCAGTAAAAACTGCAAGTGCAAATTCATTTTCGTTCTTTATATTATTAAAATGTTGATTTGAAAAAGGATAGGCTGAAGTCAATTACCTCATTTTTTATTTTCACAACGAAACTTTTAAAAAGATAGGACATGATTCTGAAATGCAAAAAACTTTGTATATTAGTTTCATTTTTGAAAATAATACAGTTTGACCCAACTAAAATTTAGAGAGGAGTGAATAGATAATTATGTGAAATTTGAACTATTTAATTAATAATTGCAACAAGTCAAAGTTATTAATTTATTAAAATGAATTCAAATGTATACTATCATATGTTGAATTGTCGCAGTATAATAAATTGTAGAAAAGTAAATAACATAAGAAAATTGTTGACGAAGAAAATCCCTTGCGGGATTAAAAACTCCGGGCCCAAATCAGTATGAATTCACTGTAAACGAATCAACTTACTAAACTGCCAGACTTGACTAACACTAGT